AGTATACCTTCAAGATCATCGATATGCACGAGAAGTACGGTCCCATCGTGCGTATCAACCCGTGGGAAGTCCATGTGGGAGACCCCGACTTCTTCTCCGAGGTCTACGCTGGACCAAGTCGGCGTCGAGACAAGTGGACATTTTACACTCAGCAGGTATGATCCCTTGGAGGCGTTATGCTCAAGCAATGTGTTGACTAACATGTGTTCAATAGTCCGGCGCTCCTCGTAAGCGATCTTCTTACACCAACACCTTCCCACCACATACTAACACGGCAGCAGAGAGCCCTCTTGCGACCATCGACCACAACCTTTCCAAGTTGCGGCGAAGCGCGCTGAACCCTTTCTTCTCAACTCAAACCGTGCGCAACTTGCAGCCGGTCATTGAGGAGCGAGTGGATGCTCTGTTGGACGCGTTCCAGAACTACGCTGAAGTGTCGATGGGCCAGCCTCTGGACGTCATGTATCCCTTCTCGGCCTTTACCAATGGTATGCACTGCCGCCCTGCGGTCCTACTGTGACACAATGACGCTAACGTGGGACGTTGTAGACGTGATCAACGAATATGCTTTCTCGCGAAGTGATCACTTGGGTATGTTGACACTCGGGTTCGACGGCAGGTTGTGGTCGTGACACTAACGTCGCTGCAGTCGAGAAGGCCGACTTTGGCGCCGAGATTACCAACGACCTTTTGATTGGCACTCACATGGGGCCGTTTGTGCAACATGTGAGCTGGGTGCTCACTCTCGTCAATGCTCTGCCCGAGTCCATCTCAAGTCGATGCATGCCTGGTACGTGTCCAAGTCGCACACATTGATCCATATATGAGGGCGTGAGGCTAACCCAATGTGCAGGATGGGGAGGATTTCTCAAGATGAAGAACGACATTCTCGACCACATCCACAGCATCGAGGCTCAGCAGAGCCCTGACCCCAACTTCCTCAATGAGCTGCTCTCATCGAAGCCCCGGGACAAGACTCCTACCAAGCTGGCACAGGAAGGTCAGATTCTCGTCGAAGGCGGGACCCTGACCACATCTTGGGCCATGTCGCTAGCGACCTTCCACCTCTTGAACCGCCCCGATACTCTGCGCAAGCTGCGTGATGAACTCTTCGAGGCCATCCCCAACCCCAACGAGCCTCTCCCCTTGTCCAAGCTGGAGAGCCTCCCCTACCTTGGCGGAGTTGTCAAGGAGGCCCTGCGCCTCAGCATCGGCACCAGCAGCCGTCTGGCCCGTGTCGCCCCCGACGAGACTCTGGTCTACCACGACCGAGAGAACGACAAGCAGTGGCAGCTCCCTCCAGGCTCCGTCGTGGGCATGAGCCCGTACAAGACGGTCATGGACGAGACCATCTTCTACGACGCGAGGGGGTTCCACCCCGAGCGTTGGGTTGAGGACGGCCAGCGACTGGACAAGTACTTGAGCATCTTCTGCTCGGGCAACCGGGTCTGCCTTGGCATGGCTCTCGCACACGCGGAGCTGTCCATGGTCATGGCCAAGCTCTTCCGACAATGGGGAAGCGGAGGTGTCCTCTTTGGAGATGACGAAGGGGACGTGAGAGATGGCGATCTCGGGTGTCTTAGCATTTACGAAACAAGGGTTCGAGATTGCGAGATGATGTCGGATTACTTCATCCCCATCCCATACAAGGTTGGTCTCTTTCTTGGTCTCACTTTGCACACTTGCTAACCATGACTAGGGATCTGAGGGCTTCCGCTTCGTCTTCGAACCCTTTTATACGGCATAAGTCATAATCATTAATGCCTGGTAGGTCTTTTCCTGGGTGGAATTTTTATGATTCTTTTCTTCATGTTTAGCGACGGAAATGAGAATATGATATGTACGGATTGAAGCGTCACGATGAACGTGCGACTTATGAGTTGATGCTAGATACCTTTATTTGTTGATCAGGACAGACTCTCTGTCCTGTTTCTTTTCGTTTTCTTCATTACCATTTACTTTGTTCAAGCATTTGTTGTTTGGTTTTTCTTTTCTTGGAGGAGTCGATTGATTCGCTCTTCCTCTTCTTCCTTTGCGTTGATCTCATCTGCTCTTTTGGTGTCTTTGCTTGGGCGTCTTCGCGAGGGGAGCTTTGGTTCATGGACAGGAGGACGGAGGAGGTTTCTCATGTGAATCGAGGATCACAGCGCGGCGTCTTCGGGCAGGCTTTATTTTTATGTCTGTTTTGCTCTTTTTGCACAAGTGGAAGGGAGGCCACACGACAACACGTCCCATCGCCAGTCAGTCAGCTGACAGGCCACAACACTATTCTCTTTGTCAGAACCATTTCACACAACAGTACAAATACCCGTCTGATCTTTGAGAGATTATGACAATTTTATACGAGCACAGGATGGGTGGGTGGATGGGGGAGGGAGGCCGCGAGTGGCACAACAAACTCACAAGTCATGAAAAACATGAAAACACATACAAGGAAAAACAGAACCCAACGAAAAGAGCAGAACAAACAAAAACCAATACAAATACATTCAGTTTAAACAAGTCAAAAACAATCTCGCTTCTCTGTGAATCATGTCACTCTCGCCGTCTGATGAAGTGAGGTGAGGTACGTATTCGCACACGAGCGGCCCGATAAGCCATAGCTCTGATTGATAATCATCCATTGGCAATTGTCTCGGCACATGGATGCACAGCAGCAACATTCAGCTCGCCAAGGAGCCAAAAACAACCTGATCTCCTCTAACAATAGAAACACAACTCCTCTCCCCCCGTCGCATGGAAATACGGGAATACGTCCAGGGGCAATTGCCTCTGCAGGAACCGCCGCCAACAGCTCATCCACACCACACTCGGCAAGGCTGGCGGGCGGCATCTTACAGTGCCGAGCTCCCATCTCCACTTCGATCCGTCCAACCAGCGATGGACCCGACCCTTGGGCTTCACTTCGGACAATATGCCCATCTGACGACTCTCACGTTTCTTCCCCCTCCCTCTAGTTAATAGCTGCGACTTGGTTCTTCTACTAATCGGTGTATTTTCGCTTCTTCTTCCATCTTTTCGTCCTCCGTCTCTTCGTATCTTCCATCGTTCAATCCGTCTTCCTTCTGGCGCCGCATTCATCTGTCCTCTTCTGCGCATCGTCTTGCGACAATGGCCATCGTTGATCCCGCCTCGAGGAAGAGGGTCCTCCGCGTCATTACCATTTCTCTACTCCTCGATCTAGTAAGGAAACCGTCCGTCTACTGCATGCTCTCCTTGCTAACTCACCTACTAGATCTCCTTCACCTTCATCCTCCCCTTGTTCCCCAAGCTTCTCGAGTTCTATCGCGATCACGAAGCCCGCGAAATCGACTCCGACGCCCCCGCGACCCTCCTCCAGTCCGTCCTCCAAGGCCTGCACCGATACAAGGCTGCCTTCTCCCGTCCGATCGAATCGCGACATGACATTGTGCTGCTGGGCGGCGCATTAGGCTCTCTCTTCTCGTACGAACCCTCCCTCCCCCATCTTTCCTACATGCAGGCTGCTAACCATCGTTGCCAACGTTCAGGCTCCTTCAAGCTATCGCCTCCCCTCTCATCGGCGCATTCTCCGATCGATATGGCCGCCGCAAGGCCCTCCTCGCCTCCATGTGCGGAAACATCCTCTCCGTCCTGCTCTGGGTTGCGGCCGTCGACTTCCGAACATTCATCGCGAGCCGGGTTGTAGGTGGCTTGTCTGAGGGCAACGTCCAGTTGGCGACGGCCATGGCGAGCGACATCTCGGACGAGTCCACCCGCGGCTCTACCATGGCCATGATCGGGGCTTGCTTCTCCATTGCCTTCACCTTTGGTCCTGGTCTCGGTGCTTGGCTCAGCACCATCTCGACGGTGGCTGCCAATCCCTTTGCGACGGCGGCCGGATTCAGCCTGGCGCTGATTGTGGTCGAGACGGTGTACCTCTATTTCTGCCTTCCTGAAACGTTGCCTTCCATGGTAGACACTGCGACCAGGGAACAGGGAGCAAAGAAGGCAGCGCCTAAGAAGATTGAGCGTACTAACTCGCATTTCCTCCTGAATGCGATCCACTTCGTCTTTCTCCTCTTCTTTTCCGGCATGGAAAGCTCCCTATCCTTCATGACCTACGAGCTCTTCTCCTTTACCTCTGGAAAGAACGGCAGACTGCTTGGCTATGTTGGCTTGGTGGCTTCCATCCTCCAGGGCGGCGTCACCCGCCGTCTAGCGCCTCTCCTCTCTGTCCGAATCGGCGTCATTGCATGCCTCGCGTCCTTTGTCCTCCTCAGCCAGGTGTCGAGCGTCGGCGGACTGTACCTGGCGGCGACATGTCTCGCCATGACGTCTGCGACCGTCGTCACAGGCCTCAACGCGCTGAGCAGCTTCGAGGCGAGCGAGGATGAGCGTGGAAACAAGCTGGGCATGCTCCGCAGCTGGGGTCAGCTAGGTCGTGGCCTGGGTCCTATCTTATTCACCAGCGTTTACTGGTGGGCTGGTCGCGAGGTTGCCTACGGGATGGGCGCAACGGGCATTGCGATCGTGGCTGCAGCCGTCTTTGCGGGATTGAAAACTCCTAAGGCGACGCAAGGTGCCAAGAACAAGAAGGGCAGTGTTAAGGTGCAATAGGGGAGTTAATTGCATTAAGGGCGTGTTGGGTGTGGTGTTGCATGGTGGGTTGCATTGCATACGAGGATCTCAGTCCATCCCATACTGTACGAAGTAGATAGCCGTTGGTAGCTGGGGCATGTACGAATAGCATAATGAAATAGCATCACGATCGATAATCAAGCACCGGTTTTAGCTCTGTTCATCTAAAACGGCTTGTAGCATGGTTGAGATGCTGGTTGTTTTGCGGCTGTCGCCCAAAACACCAAGAATACCTCGCGAGACTGCGAGCACATCCCGAGCGCATCACATAAGAAAAGAATTACCGAAAGAATGATAGATCCCAAGAGCGAATGAACCCTTGCCTATCCTCTCAAATAAAACAAAAGCAGGCCAAAAAAAAAAAAAAAAGGTTCCCTAAAGCTGGAATCGACCGACCTACCTACCCGCACTCGGATTTGCACCAAGATCCTTAGCTCACGTCCTACACTGTTATATGAGTCCAACGAGTTGCTATTACTCTATACGGGTTTTAACCGTTCGACCAGATTGACACGTTTTGTTTGTTGAAGAGGAGATGATATATTCTGTTCTTATGCGGTAGTCGTTCGTTTGCCCGTTGGTGGCTGCTGGGGTTAATTTCCATTGGTGAGTGGCTTTGCGCTGAGGGGAGTGATAGGTGGACGTTCATTGTGTCTACTCGTGTACGTAGGCCAGTGTGTTATTGGGCTTAGAGTGCTGCTGGTCGTGTCGTTTGGTTTCGTTTCGGTTCGTTGCATCTCGCTGGGCAATTGCTTTCTAGGTATGAATACTATGTTGTGTTGGCCATTCGAAGTAATCGTCGGTCTTGGTTGGTATGGTGGAAGTCGGAGTAGTCGAGGTAATAGGAAGTCAATTCGTCTCCACGCTTCGGTTCGGAGCGAAGGACATTGAGGCCGGGGATCCTAGATCAGTGCAAATCTTATTCAAGGAGCTCTTTCCGCAATTGGGAACGCCATCTGAGTATTTATACAGTCCGAGGGCCGTCCATAGGGCAAGGGGTAGGAAGGGGGGTACCAAAGTTTTATAGGTCCTTGGCTTTACGTCGATGGGTGCTGTTGGAAGCTCCGCATGACTTCCAGAATGGGAACAAGCTTCGACGGAGTTGCATTACTTCGTACATAGCACACGCCAATGGGAGACTCGAATTCTAGCAATAGGGTTTGGTTCTTGGGTTGTAGCTCTCTCGTGCTCTCAACTCGTCGTTTCGGCTACCCTACACAGTCTGATTTCTTGAACGAATTCAAAGTTTATGGCATGACGAGGCACGAATACGAGTTGCTGGGAATCATCAGGTCACAATTACAGTTGATGGGAGTGATGTTCTGTTTGGAAAACACTCAACCGACCCGCTGCGGTTGTTGTCTTGATATGGGGCAAGCTGGCCTCCACCGTGTCGTTCTGGAGACGAGTTCACGATATGGCCCGTAGCTTCCTAGTTATGGGGCGACGGGGGGCGGCAATGGTCGCATGCGGTGAGGGAGAGGAGAGAAGAAAAAAGCAACGAAAGAAATCCACACGTGGGACCATGTTGGACGACACGCCCGACCTCACTGAACATCTACGGAAGCTATCCGTATAAACGAGAGACGCCACGGTTTACACAGGATAGAGTCGGGATGAGCTGCCCATCACAGAGTAGCCACCTTGTTGAACAAGCGGTGGACAAGCAGCAAGCAACCAAAAACAGAAACCAGAAACAGAGCAGTGGATCCAATCTTGATATCTTGACCATTCGAATGGATGCCAATGGTTCGGAGGAGGGTGAGACGACGTCCAGTGGCTCTGCAGACAAGCTCGAGTCGTGAAGCAATGGAGATGGGCCACTTTTGCCGCGCATGGGCGCTTGAGAATGCAACAGTGGTGAGTTGCATGAAGAGAAGAGACTCCACCTTGGCTAGGAAGTTTTTTTCTCTCACTCTCGATTTTGCGACTTTTGCCCCTCCATTTCGGTCTAGATCCCCATTCTGTGTGTGGTTGTCCGGGGGTGCTGCGACTGCAAGACGTACGTAGCTCCAGTAGCTTGCCTGGCGGAGCAACAACAACAAGGGAGCGAGCATGGAGGGGCTCGAGGAGGGGCTCGAGGAGGGGGAGGGGCAACGAAATTTTTTGCTCAAATGCTGATTTCCGTTGCGAAAAGGATTCGGCGACGGGGAGATGAGACGTGAAACTGCGAACACTTGCGGTACGACGTATGACATTGAGTTAGCGAGGGACGGGAAGGGACGGGCTTTCCCTTCATTTTCAGCTGGTTGACCCTCTTCATCAAGGCCCTTCTGTTTCTTCTCTTCCAACCCCTCCATCGCACATCCACCTCTGATAAGACGTGGGCGGTGGTCTGTTTGGCATTGGCATTTTTTTTGTGAATTTTTTTCTTTGGTTTGGATCTTCCGTGTGCATCACAAAATCCGTGCGGCGGTGGCAACCACTAGCGGTGGGGCATGACGTCCAGAATGCGCAAGGGTGGACGCCTAAAAAGTTGATGCGGCGCCAAAGGAGGGGTAACGAAACATTCGCTATCATCGAGTGAAGGAAGGAACTGCCCCTCCCTCCCGCTCGAGCGACAAAAATATTTTGGCAGGCGGTTAGCACTGGCACAAGTCCATTTCGACCACCTTTTCAAGACGCAAAACATGGCCAAATATGAAGGATTGGTAGTCACGCCGTTTGGAAGCAGAGTAATCTTCACCCCTTTGACGCACGCCGAAATCAATAGAAAAAAGCGACGTCAGTGACTCACGCCGCTTGCGTTGGGCTGACAGTGAGGGGCGAAGCAGGTTGGGCAGAAGGGTTCCACGGCAGAAACAAGCAGGGGAGGCCAAGGGAGGCCAGCATTAACCCACCACCATCGAAAGGACGGCTTTGTTGAAATTTTAGGCCCGTAGCGAATTTTTTTCCCTCCTCTTGTTTTGAGCGACGCTTCGTGGGTTTGCGAAATGTCCCCGCAGGTATCTGCTAACAGATGGCATGTACCTCACACATCCTGACCACCTACCAGCTCTCTACCTTGTGGTTTTGGAGGTGGGATATGGCCATGTAACTACGTGAGCTATGGATGCTTCGTCGTGGAGGAAGGTTGTGGAGGATAGGATGCTCAAGAGAGCTATTATACCACTGGAAATTGTAGTAAAACTCCTCTGGATACTAGTTCGTATGGATTTGCTCTCGCAGAGAGCTCATTCTCGCTTAGGATCAGTCGCATGCTATTGTGAAGCACACGCGAAACAGCTGTTGGCGGGGTTGCTGTGGCAAGCGTGGCAGCAAACACATCCCACTTCACCTACCTTAGCTATCAATATGTAGAGATAGAAAGAAATGCGCAGCATCAGATGGACTATTTCAAACAAAGAGCCCAATATCAAGCTATCACCAAAAAGAGTGTATCATTGAAGAACCATATTCCAGGCCGTACGTAGACTTGTCTCGATGTCCCGCGAAAAAACAATGCCCCTCCATGATCCGCGCGCAATGAAGACTCGTACCATCCTCAAGCCGATCATCTCGATGGCTGGTACTACAAGCAAGCTGCGCAATCTGGACCACGCCAGAGCTGAACTCTGATTGGTTCCATTTATTTGAAAAAAACCTGCCGGTGTGTGAGGGCAGATTGAAAAAAACCTCACAGCTGTTAGGGCTTGCCCAAGCTGTGTGCCAGGTGGTTGCCCCGCGCGTAGCTGCCTTCCTGCTCCCCACCCCTCCCGCTCTCGCCTTTTAAATCTCCCCCTCCCACCACTTGCTTTGAAATTTTTCTCTCCTTTCGCTCCTCGTCTCGCATACCCGGTTCAAGCATCCGATCTGCGAATTTGTATGTGCCCTCCTATCTTCACCTGCTCCTGGCCTTGAGTAGTCTTGCTTTGCTTTGCTCAGTTGCATCTTGCTCTGCATCGCTTCGCATCGGCTTCTCATCATCGGCTGCACACCACCGTCATCTCATCTCGTTGCTAACTCTCATGTTGCAGTACGTTCTTGAAACCACACACTTCAAAACACTTCTCTCTACAACACCGCCAAAATGGGTAAGGAGGAGAAGACTCACCTTAACGTCGTCGTTATCGGCCACGTCGACTCTGGCAAGTCGACCACCGTAAGTTTCATCCACCCTTATCCCGGTTGCGATACCCCGCCTCAGCGCGGGGTTCGCTCCTCGTTTCACAGTTACTGACATTTCATCCACAGACTGGTCACTTGATCTACCAGTGCGGTGGTATCGACAAGCGAACCATTGAGAAGTTCGAGAAGGTTGGTGACTTTTCTTCGATTTTGCCCTCACGACGCTCGATTCCCCGGTCGCCGCGTCCACATCCGAACCGCTCATTCCTCGCTCCCTTCCTTCGCTCCGATCGAATTTTTTCGCCCACATTCCCTGGTTTTGTGGCGGGGCATTTACCCCGCCGCCACAGGACGTTGGAAAAAAAAAATACCTTGCCCCACCACAACACCAAGCACCACCATGCGTCTCGTCACATGCTTTTGACCATTACTGACACAGTCGTCAATAGGAAGCCGCCGAGCTCGGCAAGGGTTCCTTCAAGTATGCCTGGGTTCTTGACAAGCTCAAGGCCGAGCGTGAGCGTGGTATCACCATCGATATCGCCCTCTGGAAGTTCGAGACTCCTCGTTACTTCGTCACCGTCATTGGTAAGCTCCTCCCAAACTTCAACCCTGTCGCCAGCCAATTCTAACAATGTTATCACAGACGCTCCCGGTCACCGTGACTTTATCAAGAACATGATTACTGGTACTTCCCAGGCCGATTGCGCTATCCTCATCATTGCTGCCGGTACTGGTGAGTTCGAGGCTGGTATCTCCAAGGATGGCCAGACCCGTGAGCACGCTCTTCTCGCCTACACCCTTGGTGTCAAGAACCTCATCGTTGCCATCAACAAGATGGACACCACCAAGTGGTCCGAGTCCCGTTTCCAGGAGATCATCAAGGAGACCTCCAACTTCATCAAGAAGGTCGGCTACAACCCCAAGGCTGTCGCTTTCGTCCCCATCTCCGGCTTCAACGGTGACAACATGCTTACCCAGTCCACCAACTGCCCCTGGTACAAGGGTTGGGAGCGTGAGATCAAGTCCGGCAAGCTCTCTGGCAAGACCCTCCTTGAGGCCATCGACTCCATCGAGCCCCCCAAGCGTCCCTTCGAGAAGCCCCTCCGTCTTCCCCTCCAGGATGTCTACAAGATCGGTGGTATTGGCACGGTTCCCGTCGGCCGTATCGAGACTGGTACCCTCAAGCCCGGTATGGTCGTTACCTTCGCTCCTTCCAACGTCACCACTGAAGTCAAGTCCGTCGAGATGCACCACGAGCAGCTCAAGGAGGGTCTCCCCGGTGACAACGTCGGTTTCAACGTGAAGAACGTTTCCGTCAAGGACATCCGACGTGGTAACGTCGCTGGTGACTCCAAGAACGACCCCCCTCTGGCTGCCGCCTCTTTCCAGGCCCAGGTCATCGTCCTTAACCACCCCGGTCAGGTCGGTGCTGGTTACGC